GGTTTTGCTAATGGGCTGTCCTTTAGGAATCAGTATTGCATGGTTACATTCTAATGTTAATGATTATTAAGTATCTATGATACAAATACTGCTTCACATGTGATCTTGTCATGGTTTACAGGGAATTGCTATTTTTCCAAACATGAACAGCACATCTCAACTGATATTTTTTTTAAGGTAGAAGTGAAGCTCTTGCTAGTGTATGAAAGATCTGCAGTTATCTATCTGCTTAACTTGGGGTTTTATTTGTTACTCAAAAGAGGGTTTTGGATTAGATTTCCCCTTTACTAAACCAAATGTGTTTTGTCCCTCTGACTTCTCCAGACAAAGCATAGAATCAAACATTGACAGAAAGGCTATCAGTGACTTCTCTTCTGCTTTCAAGGACCAAATCACTGACCTTGTAAGTATACCAGGAATAAAATTGACTTTGTGGTCAAAATACCTATGGTTTTATATTGCCCTTTACACATTCATTTTACAAGCTGTGAAAGTTTTCAATCTCTTGTCAGTGTAAGTAATAGGAAAACACAATTTGTTGTGTGCAGGCTTTCACAAGAATTGCCTCTAGAGACAACACTGCTGTCACGCAAGTACTTTGCCAGGTTGTCACCTTTGAGAATAGGGAAGCATCCAATAATCCCAAAGTGTTTTTCATATCTAAATCATTATGTAGAAGAACTGGTGATCTGCATAATTTAAATGAGCATACTGCTATATCAAACACTTTTAAAATCTTATTGACTAGAATTTTAAAAGATTTAATTTTTGTGCTGTCTCAGTGCCTTCTGAGTAAGGCCTCTAAATATTCCAGGGAAAATCATCCTTTTTTAATTAACATTTTGAACATAACTGTAAGTGTAAGATATTCAAGTACCATCAGGACACAATCCTGTGCCATCCTCTAGGATGACCCTGCTTGAGCAGGGAGGTTGGATCAGAAGACCCCCTGTGGTCCCTTCCAACCTGAGCCTTTCTGTGATTTATTGGCTGGAAAGATTAAGGTGATTATGATGAGTAAAATGAACTCAAAACTCTGCAGAAGTTGTGCCAAGTACAATGGCTGAGTACTAAAGATATAGTTCTGAGTGGTTCATTAGAAATAACAAGTGTTGGAATTACCAATTTTATACATCTATATGAAGGTATAGAAAAATTAAGGTAGGTATTATTACAGGAATTGGTACAAGGAGTATTACTACCTGTAATTCTTCTTCTCTCTAGATAGCAGGAGTCCAGGAATTAAAGAACATAAAGAAAAAAAATGCTAAGGTAAATACATACATCCATATTAGCTAGATTGTACAGCCTACCGTTGTGGGCATTGGAGTGTCAAGAACTTGACTGGAAGAGATAAGATAATTGACAAAAAGGTGTATTTACTCAGAATCAACTGCACAAACAGAAGTTAGAGAACCACCAGAGTTTTTTTGGAAAAGATCTGAGTAAATTTTTTTGGAAAAGATCTGAGTAAATGTGATAGATTGCAAACTCCAGATGTATATTGCTATGTGGTGTAAAAAGAATGAATGCACATTAGGATGGGTAAGATCTATGCATGTCAATTACTCTCCTGGCTTATTGGTTTATTTTTTTTTAATGAGTAATGGTGAGGCTTCTGGAGAGCCAGTTAAATGATGACAGCTAACATTAAAGAAACATAAATGAATATAAAATCTAAGAGAGCAGCAAAGATAGCAGCCTGTGAGGATAGAATTGGATTGCTTAATTTAAAAAAGGGACGTCTCAGGCAGCTGCATTCCCTAAACAGAATTTTTGTTCAGAGGAAGACAGTTCCTCTCTTCATTTATAGGGAGTAATAGTTAGCTGAAAATGCAATGGGAATGTTGACAGAAGGAGGCACTAGTGTAAGGGCAGAAAAACATTGTAGTGGGTTCATCAGGGAGAGGTGAATGCCCTACAGAAGAGAAATTTAAGACAAGCTTAGGCACTGTCTGGATTTCTGCCCAAATTAACATCTTCTGCAAAGTTTTCAATGGCAAAATAGCTTTAACAAATAGAGTCAACATAAAGCTTATCCTGGGAAGTAGCAATTAATATGCTGAAGTCTGGGTGATGTGAGGTGATACAGTAAACTGCTCTGCATGTAAAATGAAAATTCACAGCCACTCAGATTTATCCTTAGTTTTTTTCTTAGACATTTGTTTAAAATTAAACTTTTAGTTGCTAAATTTGATTTTATGATGGGTTTTGTGGGTGTTTTTTTTAATTGTATGTTATATTAAAGCTTACTTAGTTATGGCTGCCATCCTGAACATACAGTCATATTAATTTACATTTTTAAACCTAAAACCTCCTAGAGTTCATGTTTGAAATCAAAATGCCACAAACTCCTTGTGTTTGATTGTAAATCAAATGTTTCTTAAGAACAATTGTGGATGGAGATTAGAGTTTGACATTTTAAACAGCTTTAAATTGTTTAAAATACAGATGTAAAATATGGCAGTTTATCAGGTCTGGTATCTTAGAATCTTCCACAATGACAATCAGCATAAAACCTCAGAGAAGAAAAGGGCAATGAGATTTGAGTTGCTTGCCTTTGAAATTTTAGAAACTGTTTCAAAGACTTTGCTCACTTTTTTTTTTCAGGCAATAACAAACATCAAAAAGAAAAGGCAGCAACTGGTGCAACTCAGAGAAGAGCTAATTCGGTGTGTTTCTAATGATGCATAATAATAGCCTGAAGAACTTAAGGAGTTTGGTATTTTGTAACTTGGAAGGGAAAGTAATTTTTTTTGTTCTCTCATTTGATTTTGATGAAATTACCACTGTTTTGCTTTTTGTTTTTACAAAAGCTCATGATAATCACTTTGTTACTTATTTCAGTTTCCTAGACAGTCTTTCTTTCAAGTTCTCCTAGCTAACTAGTTACTGGGAGGATGTTGCACACCATATGTTCTTAGGAACAACACCAGTGTTATGATTTGAATTACAAAAGTGCTGGATCATAAATAACAAAGACGATAGAGGACTTGTTTGGTTTTGAGGTGGGAGATTGTATTTTACCTCTGCAGGTCAGCGGGTTTGTTTCCTTCTCATATGGCCACAAAATTCCCCTTCTCTAACTTGGCATTAATCTTAAGTGTCATTTATATACAAAACACAGGAATCATGTGGTTGGAAGAATGGTTGGAAGAACCATTAGACTTCCCCAAATCCCTTGAGCTGCTAGAGACAAGCTTTATGCTGAAGCTGCATTTAACATACACCCTGTAAGGTAACTGTAGGGAACCATGGGCTTGGATTCACAAAAACAGAGTCAAAACCTTTTCTCTATGGCCATGAGAGGTGTTTTTCTTTGTAGTACTCTGGACAAACTTTGCTCAGAGAACTATTTGAAGCCCCTGACAGCTGTCTTCACATTTTTATATGTTGTATTTTAATCCTTTGATCATTTTAAGAAAGCTTTTTTTCTGCAACCCTGTTGGATGAAAGTCACTGTTGGTGCTTATTTTTGGAGTGTTATTTGAATGGATCAAGCACTCCAGTTTATTTAGCAGAGGTGTAGGTATTTTGTAGATCCTGAGAATGCTTCAGCATAAGAACTAAACTGAGCTTGCAGGCAGAGGTGTGCAGAAGCAGAACGCCTTGTATTTAAGAAACTACACTTAAAAACCTTAAATGCTTGAGAGTGGCTACATTGTCAGACTCAAAAGAGGGGTTTGGTTCTTTTTGGTGGATTTGATTTCATGCCTCTATTTAAGTAATATGCTTGTTCTGCCTAAGCACTATTCCATAGTAACCTATGTTTCGTATTTCTGACCAGCCTTTTAAGAATTCCTTCAGAGGAAATAAGGTCATAGCTATTCATGCAAGAAATATGCAGATCTTGCAAAGTCTTGATCTTTTTTCAGAGCTGAACCACAACTGACACAACTACAAAGGGAATATGCTGAGCTACAGGAAAGGAAATCTTCCTTGAGGCAAACAATTGAATTAATTACTGATTTAAAGGAGATACAGCAAGACTGTTTGGACTACAGAGAAGAAAACCCTAAAGAAAAAGTGGAAGTAAGTACATATTCTGCCTGTCTTTCAGTTTTCTAAGTGTTTCTTATTTTAATTTATGAAATTTATTTATTTGCATCTCTTAAGTAGCAGTATTCTGTTCATTGCCTTTGCGGGAACAACTTGAGAATCACTGCCGAACTGTAGTTTTTCATTTGTGTTTTTGGTCTCATGTTAGAAGCTGAACTATTGCAGAGGAGATTCTGTGGTCTTGCGCTCAGTATTCAGGAATTCAAAGGACAGAGAAATGAAACAGTTGTCCTTAGCTGTAACTTCTTTATAGAAATTAAAGATTAACAGTGGGACAGAAGTAATTAATTTTTTGTGTTGTTGTTCAAAAGTAGGGAAAGCTCTGGCACTTCCGTGTAAGATATTTAATGCTGAGAACAGTGCTGGTATTTCATGACCAGAGTAACATCTCATGTAGCCTTAGAACTTGTTTGTGTTTGCCCAGGTATTTTCTATGGACAAGGCTTACACACCAGCCATATGTAAGGGAAATCCTCACATTGTTGCCTTGTAATTTTATTTCCTTATCAACAGTATGGAATTTCCAGCCTCCCTGCTCTTCTGGTGGAGTCTCAGAGAATTCTAGGAGCAGAAAGGCACTTTGAGAGTATCAATATGAAACTGGAAGAAGCTCTGGCTGCAGAAAAACAGCAGAGATCAAAGAAAAATTAAGTGTCTTTTTAAGAGTTCCAGACATTCAGAAAGAACAGGTATTAGAATTGTCAGTGCTTAAAGCTTGTTTAATCATTGTTACTCTATTTTGTTTCAGTGTTTAAAAGCAGTCAACAACTTAGAGATTGTATCTTATTGTGTCAAATAGTCTCAGAATATCAATGAAAGGAAAAGACAACCACAGTTAGTAAAACTTTTCTGTACTCTGAACAATGTTGGGTGTTAATCTTGTGCTATTAAAATAATCTTGAGCGGAATATATTTGTAAAGAGACTCTGGTTGAACAAAGATGAATAAACAAATCTTTTTATTGAATCTGCATTTGAAATATATTACTTCATCTCATATATGGAAATAAGAAGTCTGTTTTGTTGGCTTCTCAATAAAACTTGGACATACAACTAATAGAAACTGTACAGCAAAGAGTACACTAAAAGTGCTAAGCTTGGAGCAGCATTCTTGATGAGTTTTTAGTCCAGTTCTCTTCAGCCCCCCACATAATCTTCCACGATCCCCTCAGGCCTGCTGAAGTTCACCCAGGCACTCCATTCTTCATCCTACAGCTTTGGAGTGGTGCTTGTGAACTACCCTGCAGGACCTTTTACACCAGCACCACACAAGTGTCATTCATTGCTGGCCAGGCCTGTGCTTAGCTGCCTTCTTTAGTGTAGAGATCTTCTTTCCTTAAAGCTTCCAGAAGAAGTTCATCTGGGATTTCTTCCATGGCATTATTCAGACTATCATCTGCAGCTTCAGCTAGTTCGATGTCTTCAGCAGCTTCTTGGAAACAGGCATCATCACTTGTGTTTTCCCACTCACTGTCTGAAAACAGGAAGTCTTGAGACCAGCTGTTCTCTGGAGATACTGAGCTTTTTGACAAGTCTGACGCACTAGAATGTGGATTTACTTTTCCTTCTGTGTTCCCCCTGTCATCCATTAGCATGGACTCTTCTTCCTTTGAGTAACAAGAACATTACTTACTCCATATGCAAATACTCTTCACACCTTTAACTGCTCTGCAAGTTGAAAGTTTGTGCTGTCACATACAGTGGATGCTTCAGAAAGCTGCCCACCACAACAAGATTTTCGAGCATGTTCATGTACAGCTGCATTAACCTGTGGAAGCTATTTTAATAGGAGTAGAAATGTGCCGTTTTTCTAGCACCCGACAAGTAGCCTGTTGAATACAGCTTCATAAAATAATACAAGGTTAAGACTGACTTAAGTGTCTTGTTCAGAGATACTGTCAGGACCTGAAAATACAGTTAAATGACACTTTCTGTGAAATAATACCAGTAGTTATTGATGAGGTGCTTGACTAGCACTTAATGTGTCATTCTGCTGTATTATATTTAGAGCTGTACAGTTAAATTTAAAAGTTAAAAAAATGCCAATTCTTACTGCCTAAGCAGTGGAAAAACTTGTATGTTCAGGACATAGCACTGTCAGGTCAGTTTAAATATTGTGCCTGTAAATATTGGGGAAACATGCTGCTTTCATATGGTAAAATGGAAAGAAATTAATTTCAGGAATGAGGGTTGCTGACATATATTTGCCTCTGACTTCGGTGTTCCAGAACCAGTTTTATTTTACCTTGCATGAAATCAGACATGCAGAGCAGAGCTAAACTTGGGCAGTTTTTCTATTCTGCACCTGGAGTTGCCTTGTGGCTTAGACATTGGGAACTGCCGTTCACATCAGAACAGAAAAAGTCTTTAGTCCCAGGTGAAGTTAGACAATTCCAGTAACTTAGCATTGCTGGAGAACTTGAAAAGGAATTTATGGAGCTACCAGCACAGCTGCTCTGGGGACCTCTTCTATACCACTGTACCAGGATGTGGAGCTCTCCCAGCAGACTGGGATGTTAGTGGGAATATCCAAGGACTTCCAGAGCCTTACAAGAACTTAAGCATCTCAATAGGACCAAAACATACCTCTTTGAAAAGCGTTTGGAGGCATATCCCAGGTGGTAATGGAAAACCTAAATCAAATATAAGACATTAATTAAAGTTAACATTCCAAAAAGTATTAAATATAACTGAGATCACAGGCTACATACTTTGTGATTTGAAGTTCTGTTCTCTACAGACAGGATCGTGACACTTTTGATACCAGACTTCATTCTTTAGATCTACCAGAATCCTAAGAATGAAATTATTTAATTTTTTAGTAACAGCACATAAATGAAATGAATTCATACATTTGGAAATTCTATCACTAAATGAACAGGTTTTGTTTGTCCTCAGCTATGGCCATTGCTTTCATACTCTTGGCATACTTGCTACATACTTTTGTACAATTTTTAGTAAACTTCAGGTTTCTTAAGTTTAAAGAATTAAGTTTTAAGACTAACATCTGAAAGTGAAATTTAGTCAACTTCATTACATTAAACTTGGAAGAAAAAGTCAGCATATTAAGATTAGCATATGGGACTTAACTGTAAGATAAGATTTTGTTGCTGCTGCTGCTACAAATAGTTTCATTATAAAAGCCACATAAAGTCACTCTTTTCTGTCAAATTATTAGGCCACCCACCTTTTTCAACTGTGCTTTAGAAACACCAGACTTCAAACAACTCAGTTGAGAAACAGCAAGTTCATCCAGCTGTGGGGTTTTTTGAACATCCTTGTTTCTCAGAAATACATTCCTTATGTTTCAGTGATTTTAAATGTTACATAAAATAATTTTTAAGTTAAAATATTTATACTAATTATACACTGTAATTCTAATATAATCTAAAAAACTGACTTTCCATCATCTATTTTGCTAAAACTATACGAAGTATGAGTTGTAGTTGTTGTAGAATCACTAGCAAAATACATCTTGATTCATGTGTCAGGAATTACCATTCTAAAATGGCAATTCTCAATTATTAAAATGACAAGAGTAATTTTAATAACATAAGAAAGTAATTTAAGATGCATTATAAATTAATTCAAAAGCAGGCTGCTTGCTTTCTTATTTTTCAGCTTCCTAGCTGGGAAGTACCAAAACATAGTACAGTTTAATAGCTTTAACATACTCTGACTTTCACATTAGCATCTTCAGGTGCATATTTTAAATCCCACAAAGATTACTTCATAAAATTATTAGAAATAAAAATCCAGTTATCACAACTTGGAGAGTAGGGATAAATAGTTTCTTTGTTTTTTGGGGTTCTTTTTTGTAATTAAAACATTGTATCCCCACAGATCAAGACAGCAGAGATTGTAACAGTTGTTGACTCTATTCGTAAGAGTTTTTTTAGAATTTCTAGAGAATAACAGCTGAACAGGAAAATAAATGAAGCTGTTTTCAACTGAAAGTTAAAGAACATACATTATATTGTTACTTTTGTGAGCTCTTCCGATATTTTCACACCAACGGTAACCAGAAATATCGTAAATAAGTAGTTCTTTGAGAGAGAAGTAACTCCATTGTCGTATCCCTGGGGAAAAAAAGAATAGTTCTTTAAATTCTTTAGAAATAGCGCTGTAGAAGATGCATTTGTAAATAGTAAGGTTGTCTCTTTACCTCCTTGTAGCCCATCTTTATTAACCAAAGAACGAACAAAATTATCGATTTCTGGGTATGGCGAACCCTGGTAACCTTCCATGGGATCTGTTAAACCAAAGGCCACAAACACACACTGTTAGAGGGTTTGCCACTGTAATATGCCATTGTACACACTATATAGACCATAGGCAGAAAATGTACATGAATCACATCACACCCTTAGACAGAATCTGGGAGAAAGCCACTGTTAACTTTCTTGTAGATCTTTAAAGTGCCACCCCCAAGGTGCAGAGGGAGCTGGGACAAAGCAGGACAGCTGTGGGTACAGGAAGGGGGGGGTCAGTGGCATTCAGGTGCTGCAGAGATGTACTCTGCCCCCTGCAGAAAGAGCTGAAGAAGGGCCCTCCTAGAAGTTATCAGGTGTACAAGTCACAAAACATCTAAGGTAAGAGTATTTTCTTTCTATGCAGTAGAAAAGGCTTGAGGTACCTCTGCTGCTTCTGTTAGTTTTACTGTTTAAAAAAGCAGATATTTTTCTCTCCTCCTCTGAAAAGCCAGATGACAGAACTTTTATGTCACCACTTGTTCTAAAGAAAGGAGAGAATATAAAGAGAGTATAATCCTTACAGCGTAACAGTACAATACAACTCACTGTACATCCCACAGCTCTGGGCCCAAGGGTGGGCCAGGAGACCTCCAGAGGTCCCTGCCAACCTTGACCAGCCTATGATTTGCTGTGCACCTTTCCCTGTCCCTGGAGCACTTTCCCTTCTGGCCCTGGCAGCTCCCCTGACTCCCACCACAGCACAGGGGTTCCTCTTCCCCAAGAGCAACATTTGGTTCCTTGCCAAAGTCCCAGGACGCACCCATTTAACAACTGCTGGTCCACACTCCCACAGCAAGATGTGCTCTAGATGTAGTATTTATGCAAATATACCCTTCAAAAGGTTTATCTTTTTTCTCTCTACAATGAACTGCTTTCCCTTGCCATATTGCTAACTGCAAGCCAGATGATCACAGAAGTCTAAATTCAATACAGCAGAATTTCTCATCCATATTTATGGTGGATTCAGCTGATGACTATGAGCTGAATACACTCTGTGGTTCATTGGCATCAGTTCAGGATAATGAACAGTTCATGATATAAAACCTGAAGTCAGAACAAATACATGTTTTCAATAAAAATATTAATACTATTTTAATCTTTCTGCTACAGCAATGCTTAGGATCTTCTTAAGATTAGGAATGACATATCAAAGGTTTAGATTAGATATAGAAAACTTGATTATTGTCTGTACGAGTACCCAACCTACAGAGGGGTCTGTACCAAATAGGAAATCGGTATGCAAGGAAACATGAACAGATACCTTTTGTATTTCTTATGCTACTTTAAAAAATATTCAGACTTCTCCTATTTAACTGACTAAAAATATGTATGTTTTGCTTCCAGAACTACACAGAATCTGACCAAGCTTAATAATGTTTATGTTTTGGCATTTTGAGCGTGGATAGTGAAATGAGGCACAATTTAGAAGCTGTATCACATTTGAAGGCAGGTTTAACGAATGAACAAGACTCACAAGAAATTTTTTTCTTCAAAACCAAGAAATTCTACTAGGAACTCCTAAATTACACTGTAACAATGTTATTTGAATACTTACTTATTCATATTAGTTATTTGTAACTGCTACAGGAGAATTATCATTAAAATACCATACATTTGACTGGAATTAAATCATTACCCAATGTTGCAGATTAAAGAGGAAAGAAAATATGCTTCTTCCAAGGAAACATCCTTTTCACACTTGGGGATAAACTTATTATCCTCTGCTATCTTCAGAATCACATTTTTTCCTGCTTTTGATGACTTATACATCCGGAAATTTCTATTCTTTGTATAAACTCCTACAGAAAAACAGATATGTCTTAACACAGCAGTGTGGCTAGGATTTAAGACGCTGATCACTTGCAAATTAAACAATTTTCCTTGGGCCCAGCTAAAAGTCTAATGAATGGACAAAAACTGTTACTGGCTGACTAACATCCCATAGAAAAAATGCAACAAAGCAAGATCATGCACACATGCACACTTTTACGTTACAGAATAATTAAGACAAATGCTCAACACCTCTATGTAGGCATTTTAATCATTCTGACATTATAACTGTTCCCCTTCAATACAAGAAATGGGTTCTTTCATAATAACTTTGTGAAATACAACTAAGCCCAAAAATTGTGTGAGCTGCACGATTATTTTAACCAGAAAGAACTTAATCTAACTTTCTGTTTTCTGTGGAATGCTTCACAAATGCCTTTTCTGAGGCATATATCAGGAAAAATTAATTCCAATCTCAAAAACAATGATCAGGTATCTTAACACTGCAAAATCTAATAATTCATTGAGAAGGAGAGTTTTATTTGCAGGTTGCATTTGATTTTCAAGCATTTGATTTTCATGAAGAGAAAAGCACTTACAGAGCTCATATACAAGAAGAGTACAAGAAGAGCATCACAAAGCTTTCTGTCACTGCAGCCTCAAGATATAATTCATTATGTCAACAACTTTGACTTTAGCTTTCAAATTTTGAGGTAATGTGTTTATGTTATCATAAATACTGATTTTTATTTGAATTCCATTCACAAATATGCTTGAAAGAATTTTGAACAGTAGGTGAAAGTAACCCTCTGACTCAGTAACAAAGCCTACTGTAGAAATACTGTACTTTGGGATTACTTTTCTATAGATCAGATATACTGAAGAGGCCCATAATAAAAGTGAACCTGACTTCCATGAGAAAAATTTGAAGTAATGGGAGTTCTTCAGAAGGGTCTGAGGAAAAAGCCCAAGGTAAAGTCCTGATATGTGTAGCACATTGCTGTGCAAAAGTGTGCTAAGCTATTTTCATTTCCCTGAGATAAGACAAAAAGCAAAAAAAGCAGATATGAAGTTAAAGAAGGGTAGAACTCTCATACTCTTGTTTGATGATGGGTGTTCCTGGAGATTTGCAACATTTTAATACCATGAACAGGCTATGCCCAAGCTGGGCCATGAAGTACCCAACCCAAAATTTCTGTTACTCCATCACTGAAAGCTAAAAGCTGCCATTACAAACAGGGAAAGAAGGCTCAATTCATACTTGTAGAAGAATACAGAAAGCCATGCCTGTAAGACTTGTTCCTTTATTAAGAAGCTTCTAATTCAACTGAAATAACAAAAATGCAATATATGCCATCCTCTTTTAATGCAAATGGGAGCACTAAGCCCTTAAGGGAGAAAAATACTAGTCTTGTGTGGAAAGAATTAGGAAGAAAAGGAATTTAAACTTCAGAACAAAATAATTAAATGTAATAATAGAAGTTCTATAGAGCATGAATCTAAGGTTCCTTTAAAGTACAGCACTTACAATCACAGTTTCAACATGTTTTTAAAGTCTGACCATAGGGACAACAGTAAGAACCTCACTGTTCTCACTCTCTGTAATCAAAGATTAAGGAACGTTTCATTCTTAACCTTTGTTGAATCCCAAAAAGGTTTTAAAACACTTATATTTACCTAGATCCACAAAAAGCTGCTGGTTGCCTTCTTTATTGTTTACTATTAGGAAGGAAAAATCCAAATTTTCTCCCTGGTGTGGCATTTCCATATCCTTTGTTTCATGAGCAGCGGCTGGCCAGTCTTTAGAATTATCTTCAACAGCTGTGAGGTTTGTAAGACAGCCATCTAATCCAGTTCCTGCAGAACACTGATAAACATGCCCTGCTTCCTCTGTTGGAATCACAGCAGCTCTACTCTCCATTAATCTTATGGCAGGCTGCAAAATGGTTCTCACAAAGTTACCTTAAAAACAACAAAAAAGGCCAGAAGCAGGTAACATCATCTATAAGTCAAGAAAGAACTTAAGAGAGTTTCTGTGCAAACATTTTTCAAAACAGCCAAGATGGAAGAGGTTGAAGTTCAGGGTTTTTTTAGCCCTTCTGGAACTTTTGAAGAACCCACTGTATAAAATGTTTCTGGCCAGTGACAGAGAAACCAATGCCTTGCAAGAATTTGTACTAAATGTCTTTAAAGAAAAAAAAAAACAAACTAAATATTAACAAGGTCAGATTAAGGATTCTGAAAAGGTTGTGATTGTCCCTGTCACAACTGCTTTCCCTAATTTCACTTTCAGAATGACTGAAATGTTTACTTGCAGCTTCATGGTGTATTTACTGATGTAAGAGCTTGACCAAAGCTTACTCAACAAATAACTTTCACAGAAATATTTTGTATGACTTTTCAAACTCACAGTATTGTAATTCAACTCCCATTGTATCTCCAGGCTGTGCTAGATGGTAACCAAAGACAGAGAATAGAATAAACACATAAGTGGGAAAAAAAACTATGAAGTGAAAGGAATACTGGCAAGGATGATTCTGCACTTGTTGGATGAAGCTTCCATGGGGAACATGAATGAATATGAAATACGGTTCCTCCCATGCTACATATCAGCAGAATGACTCAGCATATCAAGCATCAAAATCATCATCACCCTCATAATTGATTACAGGACTACTGGAGCACACAAATGAGTCAAGACAACCCGAAACTGGCAATTGTCTGTGTTGGAGTTGCCATACCTGGGAAATCCCAATTTACATAAACAATTAAAATTGCTTTCAGCTTTCTCTTAACCATGTTTATGCACAAGTGGCTTGAAATCATCTCTGTCCTGCCCTTTTGACAATGTGCTGAGCAGAAATTAACTGTATTTAGAGCAAAAAACAGCAGCTTTAATTGCTAAGACTGACATTAATCTGAAAAATCAAGGTGTTGTAGACTTGCCAGTTTCATATAAGTCAGTATTTTTGTAAATAAAACACACAGGCACAAAAAAAGTTACATTTTTGCAAACACACATGCTAATTACAGGAAAATAAAGCAGAGATGAGAAAAAAATGAGACCTAATGAAATAGAGAGTAATTATGTGTATGCTGAGAATACTTATTTGTTTCCACATATGATTCCATTAAAATAATACTCATATGGGAGATGGCACTGTATAAAGTCAAAACCTCACCTTCTATTTCTAGGTGTAGAAGAAAAGAACACACTTACCAACATGAGCATTATCCTTAAATACAGTCTTTTGGGGTAGAAATATTAAGTGCCGACTAAATTTTTCTTCAGTACTGGAATCCAAGTTCAAGACATCTTTTGATGAACAATTTACATCATAAAGTTCTTTTAATTTTTGGCTGACAAGCTGAAAGTATAAACATTAATTACATTGTTTTACTCTAGTAGTTGTATCTATAAAACCTAATACAAATTCAGATTCTACATTTTTCCCAAGCTTTTCTTTTTTTTCCTCATTTTGAGCATACAATTAATTTAATTCAAATTAACCTTTATATTAATTTATAATTAATATAAAGTTTTAACCAAGTTTGACAGAGACTCTATTTCCTTAAATATGCAAGTCACTTAACTAACAGCGATAAGTTGAGAAGACTTCCAGTTCTCAGGTCAAAGTCTGGTTAGGAGGGTTTACCCTGCAGGCTGTTTTCCACCACACCGCAGTTCACACCCACAGTGACAATGTTTGTAATGCAAGCTCACCGGGAGTGGAAGATGGAGGCTCTCACAAAGTAAAGGAGCTAATTCACTGGTTATGATTTGGCTAAATCATTGGTGTGACCCAATGAACAGTAACTAAGCAGAAAACATATTTCACTCTAAATTAGCTCTAAATAAACCCTTTATAAACCAAGCTACTGATTACTCATGCTTAGGACCGGGACTCAGAACCTAAAGAACTGAAAACTTTGGGTTTTAGCAGCTCAGATCCCCCACCCAGCAAATCCAAAATCCTCTTCTTAACCTGAGGAATCTCTGCATTTCAGAGTTGATCCACAATGGATAAAGTCCTCCAGATTCTGTATCAATGGAAGGTTCTTTATGAAGGAATTACCTCAATCATCTTTTGCTTTTGTTCACTTCTAACTAGAGACATGTAGGTTAAAAAAGTCTCACAGACATCCACTCACAATGAGATTTTATTAACAGAAGATATTCTTCTAAAAACATATGAATGCCATATTGAACTTGCAGAGGGCTCGTTTACAAAAAAAAATAAAAAAAAACCAATAAAATGGAAACTGCACTATTTAATAAAATCAATAATTAGCAAAGGTATTTAATTTTAGGTACCAAATTGGTAAATGCAGTCACATGATGCTCTCTAAATCATCATTTAACTAAATTATAATGAATTGTCACCTAAAGAAACTTTCTGGAGAGATTTATCTAAGCCTTGATATACAACTGCACCACTAGGCAAAAGGAATGAACTGAGGAATATATGTATGGAACTTTTATTGATGCTACTCCAAAGAGTACCTAAACATTCCTTCAGTTTTACAGCTTTGAAGTGCCAGAGCATATAGAACCATCTTCAAAAATAAACGTACCATGTCAGTAAACCTACTGTGAATTCAAACAGTCCAACAGCCATCATTTTTTACTTTTGTCTCTCAGTAAAATTTTTTGTCTCTCACTATGACTAAACCCTTGCTTTAACTAAAACAGTATTTTTTTAATTAAAAATAATCACTGGGTCTGCAATTCTTTTAATTTTATTATAACATAATCAAGATAAAGTGGTAAATACTTTTGGTTTCATATACAATTAATAATAAATTCATATTCATCCACAGCATGACTTTGCTCTAGTTTACCTCAATTAACTTCTTGACCATACTCTTGCCATCTGCATCAGGATTCGCTGGTTTGTAAAACTCCAAATCAAAATAAAGTTTGCAAGCATCTTTTGCAGGAATTACTTCATAGCAATGCATAAGACTTGTTTTGCAACCTTTGCTAAGGAAAGACAAAAACAAATCACAACCTCTCATGATAAACATTATGAGCATGCTAATCAGTTGCAAACAAGGATCCCACATATTTTATTCTGCAATCAATCACCTTCATAATCAATATTAAAAAAATGTAGTAGCCCTATAATGCTTTGAAAAGTTTGTAACTAACATCAGCATCAAATATCAACAAAGACTATTTGTCTGGCCTAGAATTTAATTTTGTAAAGTATTCTCCTCTCCATAACCCCCCCCAGGCTTACAATACATACAGAAATGTTGAGAATTTAAAAGCTATAAAAACTACAGTAAAAAAATGTAAGTGATATTTCATATGTCTTTAGCACAAAGAAAGAGTTATATCGAGTTTTTTCTAAATAAATTAAAAAAATAATCTCATTGTCAGTTTGAGAAAAAAAATCAGGCTTTATGTACAGAAATTGCCTCAGATTTCTTTTACTTCATAGCCAAATATTTTATTGTAAAAGAAAGAAATAAGGGGAAAAGTTCAGCACATGATAAAACTGTCAGTACTTGGAAGTACATCATGCAAATGCAAACCCATAAATCAGTTTCCAGACATCTGTATGAACGCCCACTGAAACTGCTGTATGACTGGTCAGAGAAGTATGTTTTTGTCACGTGTTGGTATGATCCCCTGGGGAAAGCTGACAGCAAAACCAAATCTATCGTTCATAAATTTCACTTCAACAGACAGAGTACTTAATTCACAGGAAATAATGGCATCCTACTACTCAAAAGAAAGTAGAAACCTGCTGTAGAATATATTGTTTTATCCTCATGGAGACTTTTCCCATTGCCAAGATGAAAGCTCAGGTAACCCATTGCAGCTCTGTGCTACTCAGAGCAGCAGATGGCTCCTGGGAATACCATCCAGTGGCAGCTATTATAGGTGGGATATCCAGTATACCACTAACTTTTAGTAACATACAGGGTACCTTCTCAAATACTCACGTATAATAAAACCAAAGCTCTTTATATGTTGTCACAAGGTAAAACCTCTGTCCACTCTGCGTGTTTTTTTCCAAAGCAAACACATGAACATCCTTTTAAAATAAATAGATTGATTTTTTTTTTGTTAGTTTCATTCAAAAAACCAGTTTAAATCTTCATAAGTTCCTCCTTGGCATCAGTTAAAGGTTAATAAATACTAGAGAACTATAAACAGATCACTTATCCTTTTCCATGCTCAGTTTTAAATCATTCTGATTTCAGTTACATGGGTAAAACTTTGAAGCTTTTCTTTGTTGTGCAGTAATGTAAATTGTTTTCTCTGTAAACTCTTGGGTTTTTCTGATCAGTATCAAGTGCATCTATAGGGTGGAGGAAAAATATCCTGAAAGGAGCAGTCTCATGGACATGATGGCAGTATAAGCTTTATGGGAAAATATTCTTCAGACATTATTATGTTGTTTAGATCCAAAAATGGAAATCTGAGAAGAAACTAGAAAAAAAACTACTGCTAAGCCAGTGAGAACCCGTTTTGGAAAACAAGCTGTCAGGATTACTTAAACACCTGAAACAGCATGGAGAAAAACACAATACTTCCTTTAAAAATAGCAATCAATTTGAAAAGTATTAAACTGAAAACAGAGGATACCTTTCATACAATATTTATTTGGCTAATCACTTCTAATCATATGAACTTGCTACTCAGATGCCACTGGAGAGCTGTATTGTTTTTATTTAGTCTATGTCTCTTAGCTCTCTTTATTCCTCTTTTTTTCCCTCCTCTTTCTTCCTACTCAATTCTCACTACCTTCCCATTCTCCTGCCCACCCTGACAGCTTGTTCATCTTGAGAAGGAACAAATTTATCATTACAATGTTCACTTTTACTGTTTGAAGTTAACACCATATATCAACTTGTATGCTAGAACAGAACTAGTTATTCTTAGAGATACCTCCAGTGCAACATGACCTACAAAGATAAAATAAAAACTTTGCTTTTTCAGGACTGGGAAGGAAAAGATCTTGCAAACTGATGAAGACTTCACTGCCAACAGCAACTTAAAATGATATTCAATCCTGAAAGTATATAAAGAGTAGAGACATTCACCTAACACATAGTATACCTCTTTGCAGGTTTTTACATAACTAAAAGCTTCAGCCTGTCGAGAAAATATTTTCCAAACAGAAGATGGCATAGAGGGCTTGGACAGTCTTGGTTTATAAACTGTAGGAAGAGGATTTCTTTCATAGTGAGATGCTAGTTCTTCCACTTTCTTCAGTCTTTCTTGCCATTTTCTCTTCATTTCTCCTAAAGCAATTGCAAATAGTCCAATCAATACCAATCCATTTGCAAGGCAATTTTAATCTGAGTATATCCTGTATGCCTCACTGATTTTGATTCTGGTTCTGTTTAATGTAATTTACTAATTTAACTGGAAGTAGCCAACATTCCAAATCAGCACCCAACCTTACTACGATACTCATTTTAATATTAAATGTCTCTACAATTTTCTGGAAGTACAAGAGCTTCATATTAACACATTTTATCAAAGATAAACACAACAGAATAAAGAAAGTGAAAAGAAGTGAAAGATGGCCTAGGAATTTTCATTTTTATCTACAGAATGGCATTATGGTCCTCGGAAGTATACAGACTTGACTAGGCACGTAATGTTAGTAAGGAGTAAAAAAATACTAAAAATGAAAAAATACTAAGAGTAAAAAAATATTTTTGCTTTATGGTTGGGGTGACAAATGAGGTAATTAATTTGTATGCGTAGTACAATACTTGAGTTCATAGGAGGAATTAAGACTTCAGAGACTTCAGCTCCAAGGTCTGCATCTCAAAGAACTGAAATCCAAAATGAGGGCTCCATTCTCCACTGCCAACCTTTGCTATTGATCAGTGATACTTTCACCTGCTTTAAAAGCTCATGCACTTTTCACAACCTTAAAACAGCAATCTTATCTCTTTTCAAGAAATAGAACCATGCAATAACTCTTGTTATCTTGAAACCTTTAAGCTTCTAGTTCCATAAAGCAATCCAAATGCTGTAAAGTAATGCAGTGAAGCCTAAGCACACATATGTACAATTAACTGTAAGTGGAACACCTGCACATCAGTAAAAAGCACTGCCAGGAAACTGTGAAACAGAGGAAGAGAGGCAAGAAGCAACAAACATGAAGGGAAATCTTGTTCTGCTCAGCATAACCACTTAGTTCTCCTAACAGCCCCTGGGTTGCAGTGAAAGATAAAAATGAAACTGAGTGTACTGAAAAGTATTCAAAATATTCTTCTGGGGCCCCAAAGCCCAAATTTTAGATCTTCTCATTCCCCCTCCAAGTTTTCCACAGCAGAAGTTCCTGGACACTTACCTTTCTGCCCACTGTTCTAAGCCTGCCAATGTCTTGATAGTCAGTGCCTGTGTCAAGTCTAAGTAACAGAATGTTTTTTCTCTAACAGGGATCAAACATATTATCTCTATCCCCCTTGTCCATCTTCTGAACTGTGCATTTTCTTCACTCCCTTTTTATAATCTTAGTTCCTTCTCTGGGAATGAAAAGTTAGATTATAGATAACAACCAGTATTTCTCAGAAGTGCTAACAAAACTTTCGGTTTCATTTTGGTGCTGTTGGCTGTAAATTAACTGGGTGCAAAAGACATGCCTACATCAGCACTTTCCACAAGCTGACCATTAAAAAAGGAAAGCAAAGGAGAAGCCCCATAATTCACTATTAATTTTAAACATTCTAGTTATATCAGGCTGTATTTTTGCAGAAACACAGCTGGGAGGATACCTGAACCTGGGAGAATCTGGGTTTCAGATTAAACTGAAACCTATCCATGCTTCTTGCAGCCCAAACACTTGGGCTCTCAGGAGTCCAACGTGTCTTTTCAAGGCAATTTCAATTCCTATGTGAACTATAACACAGCACATCTATTTAGAGCACACACATACAATTAACATTTACAGACCAGCCCTCTGAGCTTGGGAAACTCTCACTTCATCTTCCTCTCTTATGTCCCACCAGAAGTAAGGGCAGTACTTACTTTTGTTTGACTTGACTGAAAGAAATTTTGTTACCAATATGTTTGGACTTCAGCGCTATTGATTCAGCAGGATGACTGCATGGAGAGCTTGGAAAAATGTCTCCTGAGCAATGACTTACAGAACTATTTCATTTTCTCTATTGTATGGAAGACTACTTCTCTGTTTACTCCTCATGATAATGACAAAACACATTACCCACACCTGCTGACAACTGAAGCTGAGACACGCAAATCAACTGTTACTCAAAATAACATTACACTTGTTTCCTGGCCAGTGTGTATCATGGAACACAGCTCCATGGCAGAATTCACAGTCCTTGACACAAATAAATCCATGAGATTTTCTCCCAGCTACTGATTCAGCCTCAGAAGAACACATTAAATTCCTTAATGTTAGTGAAAATTAGCTTAGCCATCTTTATGCTGAGCTGACAAGTGGCATATTAACAAACACTACTCACCTTCCCTCAACGACAACAAGTTTTCATCTTGCCTTCCTGATAGAGGAAGTGGCCTCTACAATTACAGAATGATGGAATGGCTCAGGTTGGAAGGGACCACAGTGTATCACCTGGTCCAACCTCCCTGCTCAAGCAGTGTCATCCTAGAGCACATGGCACAGGATTGTGTCCAGTTGGTTCCTGAGTATCTCCAGTGGGGGAGACTCCACAATCCCTCTGGACAACCTGTTCCAGTATGCAATCTGCTCCTTAAATTAAGACTGCAAGTGCAAAACTCAGTACATCAGACCTGGTGATAAGACCTCAAAAAGTAGGTTAGTACCTGTTATGAGAAGCTGGAATACATAGTTTCCAATGTATCTGACTTCTGCTACTGAAGGTCGATGTACTGAAGGTCGATGAAACTAACTGACCTGAAAGTTGATGATGAAGCCAAAATCAGCCCGCAGCATCAAGAGCGCTGCTGTGCAAAGCAGGTCTGTGGGCAGCCAGGGACAGTCACCATGCCGGTAGGTGAAAACCCTGCCCAAGGGAAGGTCCTGCTGTGGCAAGCTTACCCATGGGTATCTCGCTCACTGAGGTCAGGAGGGGGCTGCTCATTTAGTAATTGACCCCACAGATTACTCGAGCTGGCCATTTCCTTTACCAACCACCATTCTACCAGAATTACAGAATATTCTGAGCTGGAAGGATCATCTAACCCAAAGACTCTCCCAGCCCTGCACATGACCATCTCCAAGAGCCACACTATGTGCCTGAGAACATTGTCCAAACTTCTTGAGCTCTGTCAGGCTGGTGCTGTGACCACTTCCCTGGAAGCCTGTTCCAGAGCCCAACCACCCTCAGAGTGAAGAACCTTTCCCTAACATCCAGCCTCAACCTCCTCTGGCACAGCTTCAGGCCACTCCTGTGGGTCCTGTCACTGGTCACCACAGAGAAGAGATCAGTGCCTGACTGGTCACCACAGAGAAGAGATCAGTGCCTGCCCCTGCACTTTCCCTCATGAGGATGCTGGAGACCACAAGGAGGCCTCCCCTCGGTCTCCTCCAGGCTGAACGGGCACAGTGACCTCAGCCGCTCCTCAAAGGGCTTCCCCTCAAAGCCCTTCGCCATCCCCATAGCTCTCCTATGGACGCTCTGTAACAACTTTATATCCTTCTTACCTTGTAGTGCCCAAAACTGCACACAGCACTTAATAGAAGGCCGCACCTCATATTGTAACATAGCGTAAGTGTACCAGAATTGCACATTTGTTTCAGCAGGCAGAGGAACTCGAGCAACAGCGCAGACTTCAAGGTTTGGATTACACCATTCACACCCAAGAACAGCAAGGACAGCCCTACCCGGCTCAGCGCTCAGAGCCCACAGGGAGCGGTGGTTCAAGTGGCCCGCCATCGGCCCGGCCCGGCGGGCTCCGCCGGCACGGCACGGCACGGCACAGCAGAGCAGCCAGTCCGTGCCTCCTC